TAATAATAATAATAATAATAATAATAATAATGTTAGATTATCTATCAACCTCAATTGAAAATAATTAAATTGTATTTATTAATTAAATAAATTTATTCATATTTGAAATACTTATATGGTATCAGTATGAAAAATTGTTATAATACAGGACAAACGAGACTTACAGTTATTAGTGATAAATGTCATTTTAAATTTTTTTTTTTTTCAAAAGTGCTTGAAGATTAAAATAAAAACTTATATTGCTTTAATTTAAAATAAGTATAAAATTACAATTAACACATTCTATTACTATTATCATATTAGAAAGTCAATGTCAAAATCAATAGATATTTCTGGAGAAAGTGCATAAGGGATAATGATGCCCATCTCAAGCTGGGACATAGCAAGTAGTGAACTTAAAGGCTTAGAGTTATCTAACTTTTCGTGTGTGAAAGAAGAGAAGAGGACCATCATTCACTCATTCATTGTTCCACTAATAATTAATGCTACCAAGCTGTGTTTCTTTTCACTTGCATAATTATTAGTTTCCCAAAGCGGAAATGTTAAGAGCAATCCGATGCTTCCGTTATGGAGCCATCGGACCCATGTGGCATCACNCACTTACACTTTTATTGTCCCATGTGATGCCACATGGGTCCGATGGTTCCATAACGAAATCATCGGATGACTCCTTAGCATTTCCGTCCCCTTAAGTAGGTCTGTTCAAATCTTGTGTTTAAATCGTGTACGTACTTAACACTTGTGTCGTCGCTGTGACTGATAAAATATTATAATTATGATTTATTTTTTTGTTCTAGTTAATGATGCCTGAAATGAATTAACAACATGTAATTGCGTGCATTTTATCACATAGGTTGGCTCGGTTCGGTAACTAAATGAGTCTTATTGAGCCGACTCGAGCATGACTTGTTAACTAAACGAGTTAGAATTATATTTGTTTATCAAACGAGTCAAGTTGAGCCGAACCGAATTGAGCTTGTGTTTGGTTGTCATGAGTGAAAGATGAAACACGTAAATTACATGTGGCGAGGATCATGAGAGGGCATAGCTTATTTTTATAGCACATCCAACTTTTGTCCTTAAAAAATGATGCTTTTTCTGGTTAGATTTTGTAGTCTAGTATCTGGTTGTTGAGACATGGGATTAGCTGCACGAAACCGAAAACAACCTGGAATAGTAAACCAAGGGGCAGAAAAAGCAGCTGCATATAGTTGTCAAAATACAAAAATAAATGAATCATAAATGATAAAAGAATTTTTTTCTTTTTTCTTTTGGTAAAATTTATAATTTTCAACCGCTCCTGCATTTGGACCATACTAAGTATACATTTTTGCATATGATTGTATTGTCAAGGTGTAGAAAAAATTACAAATTATGAATGTTCATCAAGTTTATGCTGTATTTTACTAAAAAATACTAAAAATTGCAAAGTGAAGAAACACATATAATACAAGTTCTAGCCAGTATCTAATCCTATTTAGTAATCATTTGTAGTCTCTTCTGACAAAAAAATGTGGGAATAGAGGAGAAAGTGGTGGTAAATTACGTATCTCTAAATAGTGTGTTCTATTCCATTTTTTTTTTTTTTTTTTTGNTTTTACAGCTTAGTGAAGACAAAAATATACTTACCACATTTTACACTTGACTGCATGCAACTTGCTATATTCAATAATTTATTATAGTTAATTAAAGCTGCAGTTTGCCTTGGTACATACGCTGCAATCAGTCATCAATCATTTTACAATACATCATTCTTTTTTTGCCTATATATAATAGTACCCATAAGTGATCCTCTTCACTTCCACCTCTTAATTGTGGAGATACTGAGATACAAATAAGAAAATGTTTGATTTTGGAAAGTTGGGCCATGGAGGAGTAATGGTACTAATGAGAGTGGCAATATGCATCACTATCTGCTTCAATGGTTCTGCAGCATCTGCTCGATTGCCCTCCGTTCGCAACAAACTTCTGGAGAATGGACTTGGCCTAACTCCTCAAATGGGGTAACTTTCATTTAATATAATTGTACTTTATTATACTATCCTCCTCATCTTCTTGCTTTGTCATTATACAAACTGTAAAATCATATCAAATTAAAGTTATGCAAGGAAAAGATACTACAACATATTGCTATAGTATGTCATAAGAAAATTAATTTTCTTTTGATTCTAAAATAAGGATTTAGATACTATTTTGATTTTTTCTTTTTCATATTTCAGATGGAACAGCTGGAACCATTTCCAATGTAACATCAACGAAGTGTTGATCAGGGAAACAGGTTGATGCATGTTTTGACATTTTTAATTCACCAATTAATATTCTTATCTACTAGCATCTATTATATAGTTGTTCATTTAATTGCCTGCAGCTGATGCAATGATATCGACTGGGCTTTCCGCGCTCGGATATGAATATATAAACCTTGGTTCGTTGAAATATATATTATCAATTCCATATCTCAAATTTGGATTATGTATGCATCTTTATGTTTTCTGCTAAATTGTATTCTTGATCTTTTTGGCACTCTCCAGATGATTGCTGGGCAGAACTCAGCAGAGACTCTCAGGTAAATTTGCCAATTGTCACTTTTTATGCAGTTTCCAGTGTTGATATCTAACATCCAATTATGCTTGGCAATACATTGCAGGGAAATTTTGTGGCCAAATCTTCTACTTTCCCTTCTGGAATTAAGGCGCTGGCAGATTATGTTCATGGAAAAGGATTAAAACTTGGAATCTACTCTGACGCTGGGTATATTTATACTTTTTTCTTTTAGCATTTTATATATCTAAATGGGACGCATGATACTATTTGGCTCATGCATTATCGTGTGTTGTTAATTTGCAGAACTCAGACGTGTAGTATGCAAATGCCGGGATCACTAGGATATGAGGATCAAGATGCAAAAACATTTGCCTCATGGGTTTACTTACCATTTCTAGCCATTCTGTTTGCCATATCAACTGAACAATTTGTATATATGATCATGAGTTTGAACTTCTACTTTGTTTTGTTTTTCTTTTTCCCTCAAATCAGGGAATTGATTACTTGAAGTACGACAATTGCAACAACAATAATATCAGCGCCAAGGAAAGGTAACATATCTTTTTCCGCAATCATCTGTTTATACTTTTGGATTTCCTTCGAGACTGTAAAAAAGATAAACGTTGAAGTATAATGCTGCATTGATCTATTTGCTTGTTGATCAAGGTATCCTGTAATGGCAAAGGCTTTACTGAATTCAGGGAGGTCAATATTTTACTCTTTGTGTGAATGGTAGGTTTTAAGCAATCTATGTTCCTATAGGTCATACAATGAAAAATCTTCATATGTGTTCCATATTTGACAGGGGCCAAGAAGATCCTGCAACTTGGGCAAAGTCTGTTGGGAACAGTTGGAGAACAACTGAAGACATTAAAGATAGCTGGGACAGGTGAAAACTACAAGTTTTTAGCTCTTGGATCATATATCATTTTGTGGATCTTATTGACAAAATCTTTCCGAATAATTAGTTTTCCTTTTCAGATAATTATCAAATTTTTTTTCTGATTTCTTTTGTGGATCTTATTAGCATGACTTATCTCGCGGATCTCAACGACAAATGGGCATCCTATGCTGGCCCAGGTGGATGGAATGGTATGATTTTTGTGCATGTTCTTTACCTTGTCCTGGTAATATTTTTCGAAAAGGGCTAATTATATAATTTTTCTTGCTGCTGTGCTATGAGGTCTGCAAATGATTATTAACTTTTCCATGTGATTATGTGTAGATCCGGACATGTTGGAAGTTGGAAATGGAGGAATGAGCGCCAAAGAATACCGATCACATTTCAGCATATGGGCATTAATGAAAGTAAGTAACTGCAGAAAGAAGTTGGATGAACAAAAACCTTGACATTGAACTTAATTTAAGGCGGATTTGTGTTGGTGTGTATTAGGCGCCTCTGATAATTGGGTGTGATATTCGATCAATGGACAATGTGACACTGGCACTGTTAAGCAATGAAGAGGTTATTGCTGTGAACCAAGGTGCGCGAGAACTTAACCATGAATTTGTCTGGCCAACTTTGACTAGCTACATATCTTACCTTTTTCCATTTTCTCATCAGATAAACTCGGCATTCAAGGGAAAAAGATTAAGAAAGATGGGGATTTAGAGGTAAGAAAAAGATGGAACACAACATTTTAGTGTTGCGCATTTATCTACGCAATAGTAAAATTGTAGTTGTGTATTGCAGGTGTGGGGAGGACCCCTAAGCGGAAATAGAGTTGCCATTGTTTTATGGAACAGAGGATCTACAAAAGCTAAAATTACTGCTCACTGGTCGGATGTAGGGCTTAGTTCAACGACACTGGTTGATGCACGAGACCTTTGGAAGGTACGAATTTTTAAGGATTGGATTAGATGCTTTCCCAGTTTTCTTTTTGTCTAAAGTGTACCAACATTCATTCTTTGTATTGTCCTCTTCGTCTACAGCGTTTGACACATACTTCAGTGAAAGAACATATCTCGGCTTCTTTGGATCCTCATGACTGCAAAATGTACATTCTGACGCCAAAGTAAAGTAACCCATAATGAGGCAGCAAAAAATGTACCTTCTGTCTCCAAAGTAAGGTTGCAAGCATCACCCATAATGAGGCTGCTTGTTAACGTTTAATCAAATAAAAATCCTTTGCTCTTCTTGGCCAACTTGTTTCATATACGAAAGATGTTCGCATCAACCTATTTATATATGTAGCATCATGGTTTGATTCTTCATTTTTATCCTCATGATAACAATCAATATCCCCAGGTAGTGTAATTTCTTTTCTGTTGTGTACTACTTAACGCCAGACTGGGAACGTACAGGAGGATCTCCCATCAACTGGAATATACATTCCCTACGCTACTAACAGGAACGAAAAAAATAAATAAAAAAAAAAAAAATCGATTTTCTGAGAACAAATAATAGGCAACAATCATTGACACTCTACAAGGGAAAAAAAATTGTCACGGCCCAGCCAAAGTAAGAGATGTTACATTATTTACTGCAAAAATGAAAGCTATGATGGTCCCCTCATCCTCTCCACAAAACTTCTTCCCCTCTCTTCCAGGTGACGCCTCTTGACCACAAGCTTCTCTCCCATTTTCTTCCCCAATCCACGCATGCGTTCTCTCGTCCCTATCCTCCTCATTCTCGACTCTTCATCGTCCGAATTATGTGTTTGCCCCTCTACAAAGATTTGTGAAGGGGAATGTAGGTGCTTATCTGGTTTATTATCATCTGTCATGCCAAATTCTTGCGATTTATCCTTGTTTAGCAACGGGGCTCTGATTTCTTGGGAACAATTTTCATTAAATGTTGCTTCATCCATTGAACTTGATGATGATGCACAAGCATCCGAATATTCACCCATTGCTTCCGGGATACAACTGTCAACATCTTTGGTTTTCTCATTAGACATTGGTAATGATCGAGTTGAGGCATTTGTATTAGTGTTAGCTTCAACTCCACCTTGTTGTGTAGCTTCCCCAGTGAAGCAGCGCGGTATTCCTTGTTTTGTGGTATTATTACTATTGGCTGCAATCGAGTCTTGATTGTTTTTATACCACATGAAAGGAGCAGCTTTTCTAGGGACCCAATCATCTTTCTCTGCTAACATCCAAGGAATTCCAACACTGTCACTATTTGGAAGCACTAAAGTTTCACGAATAGCCGTCTGCGAAAAACACGCTTGAGTCAGGCTCAGACTTCTAAAGATGACAGAAAAATTAGCTATGTACCTTTTCGGGAGCATATAATGTGCAACGGAGTGCCTGTGGGAGGAGTAAGAAGACAGACAATATGGATCCATATTAAACAAATGGATATACCTTGAATCGACTGATGAGGAACAAGGCAAGATGTCCATTCGTAATTTTGTGGTCTCCAACAAAAGATTCCAAGTTAAATTGAATGTCAGGCATAGAAGTAAACCCAAACCATATATGATCTGAAGGTGGAGGCTTCATGCACAACCGCATAGTTCCACTAAGAGAAGAAACCTTTATTCCCAAGGCAAGAGGGACCTTCAATATATGACAAATACTCAGGTTAACAAAAAAATGCGTGTTTAGTTTCAATTTCGATGCATTTTATGCATGTATCGTGAAAATCAGATAATAGACACCCCCATTAGCTAAATCAACATCAACTTGGTTGCATCTCACAATCATCTTGTTGTATTTTTTACTTTTTCACAATGGTAAAGAGTATATGGGCTACCAAATGTAGTTTTACCACGGACTTAGTCCACAACACTTTTAAAACTTGTCAAAACTATATATATTAATCATTATTTTGACCACACAATTGTCTTATATAAAAAACTTACTGCCATTATCAATGCTTCCGACATGAAGCACATCATAGAACTTATAAGTATATTGACACGTCAGAAGCGTAAACCTGCGGGCCAATAGTCATCAAAATATGGAATCCAAGAAATATATCTGGACAATACATCATTACGGATTACGGAAGATCTTGTTTTACCCACCAAAGACGTGTATACTCGTTTTAACCCTCAATTCACTCTGTCAGCACGTATTTTTATACAAACTAATATTGGAAGATATTTACTTAGATCCAAAATGCAGAGGTATTATACCCACTTGACAAAGGCTTGTTTATAAGCTAAAATCACATGAATTAAGATATCTCATCCATGCACCTATATCAACCATAAAACCTTTTCGACAGTGGACAAGTTCCATAATAATTCAACTTTAGAAAGAACACTTCATAGAGGAAAATAGATGTTCACAAAGCAAACACAAGATGCAAAGTATCACATCATAAATGATTATAGAAGTGAACTTATAGGGGCTGCTTAACAAAAATCACTCATAAAAGATGAAATGTAAAATGTATTTACAAACCTGTGACACTTGTTTGGAGATAGAATGTAACATAGACTTCCATCTAGATCCTTGAGATGATGCCTGTGCAGTGCCCTTGGGGTTTTCAGCCTTGTCTGCATAATTATGCACAGTTGAAAAGTTACGTCTACTGCCTTTGAAATAATGAAGAATTGAATACTGAGATACAATTTTTCCTGGGTAATCACTCACTCAATGTATCAAAATCTTTATTATCATAACCATACAATAGTTCTCTATAATACACTATGTAATGGATGGGGGACACACTAGTGACTTTGAAAGAACAAATCAAGTTGTTCTGTGAAGTAGAACATTTCACAATGCATTCAGTAAAAGAACCAAGCAAGTAGTTCAATTTCAAACCTTTCCCATCGTATATTTCATCCTTTTGTTTAATATCAATAGGTGTCTCCTCAGAAATCTTCAATTGTTTCCCAAGATCTTCAAAACCTTCCAGCAGATCAGAGGTGGCCTCGCTAGCATTGTTCATACCAAAGCTAGTTTCACCTCCTTCTAATTCTAATTCTCGAATTTCAAGCCTTGTCTCAAAGTCCAGAACCATGCCGCCCTGATACTCCAGATCAATTTCCAAGGACCACACCTCATCCATATTTGATGGGAGAACCCTCATTGCAAGGACATGCGGTGGCAGATTGCCAGGATCCACAGCTGTACAATTGACCTCACCGATGTAACTGGGGATTCGCATATTAGATAATGCTCTCTGTTGCATTATACAAGTATAGATTAAATGGTACATATGGAATTTGAACCGTATATGAAAATGCAGGTACGGCATTTGAAGTTGCCTTATATGAATCAATACCATTTTTAAGACTCAATATGAATGAAAAAAGAAGTAATACCTCATCAGTCTAAATTTGAGTTATAATTACACACCATCCTCTAAACAATGTTTCTCCAACTCATGCGTAAAACACTATATTACTTAATGTAAATAATAACAAGGCTTGTAGAGAAATCTACAGTTCAAGATTACATGGTTAAGCACTATATTGTTTAAATAATAACAAAGGCTCGTAGAGAAATCTGCATTTCAAGATTACATAAGTAAGCACTATATTACTTTATATACATTGTAAACCATAAAAAGCATACCTGTATACGATTCTGTATTAAAGTCTTAATCTGAGAACTGTTCTTGACATCAAAGAATAGCCGTGAAATTAACACGTTAATGCACAAGGTTCCTTCATCAGAAATTTGAGGTAAATGGTTTTCGATCCCAGTCTCAATGGCAGAGGAAACTGATGATGTGACGCTAGCATCATCAGAAATTATGCCGGGAATTTTTCCTGCTGTGTCCACTTTAGCTATATCATTTATCAGGAATAGATCTTGGAACGAACGAGATTTTTGATTAACTTTCGTCTCTTCGTGGGCTGATGTTGAAGCCCCACTTGTTTTATAGTCTTGCCCACTTTTAGAAGCCTTCTTAGTAAGTTTTTTCAGAAACTGACGAACCTTAGACGAAGAATTGTCAAACTTAATCAACTTATCTATTGATTCAGTATTTGAACCACCATATGGCTTCATGAATGAAGGATATCCTGCATTCAGTGACGTCAGGTAAGAGTGAAACTCCGCATTCAGCTCGGAAAACCATGTAATTTTCTCTTTATCGTTACAGGAAGCCAGACGAAGGGCTTTGCACCAGGATTCCTTATCCCAAGATGTCTCAAGGTATATATAAATAATTTTATGACCTCTATATATGGCTGAATCCCTTCTCTCCACCTTGATTGGGTACCTTTTAGCCCTGTTAATAGGAAAAGAAAACTAATTCAAATTAAACCTTTTCATTAACTGCAAGATAACAAGCTAACTGTAAAGCAATCAGCTTCTAAACAGTCCTGTCTGTCATTTGAATGAATCAAAGGATTCAGACCCCCACGATCAATATCATTAATTCTTAATCAGGAAAGACCGTACTAAAATGCTCGCCATGAAGTATGAAATGGCACATTACGATATTTGACTCCAAATCTTCAACAATTTGAACTCCCAAAAACCATGTCTAGGTAAACTTTGATTACCATTTTCTTGAAGACAAGCTTGTAGCCGAAACGGCAACAATTGTGCAGCCTCTCAGCGAAATTTCTACACAGGAACCATCTGGTTCCATCAGGATAAGACAGTGATCTCTAATTCTTGCATATTTTCTGACAGGTGTGACCTCCATGATTTCCTTTTTCTCAAGCCCCGATTTGAGAACTTGATCGGGTACTAGAATCCAAACAGTCCCCTGAAACAAAAGGATATGAATAAATACACCACACAGATGAACAAATCGATAAACACTCCTACTAGAATCCATTTCTGGGCAATTTGAAGTGATGTAGGATGACCTAACATACAACCCTACTCACAGATATCAACTTACACTTCAATTATGGTTCCCAGTCCAGCATTATGTTTAAAACGAATGATCTGCACTTGTGTATTCGTTTTTCCATTTTAATACAATCGAATAGTAGCACTAACGTGATGCGGATATAAAGCAAGAAACTATGCCAGTGACAAGAACAGAGACAAAGACTTTTGCAGTAACTGTGTGGAGATTACGTAATCTGAAAGGTAGGAATCAAATCACCTGCTTGTTGGATAACGATAGGTTGAGGTCACCGGGAGAAGAAACAGATGCCACATCCTTGGCTTTGATTTCCTTCCTCTCCGCTTTCCGATTGAGAAAGCGAATCAGAAACCAGAGTCCAGCGGCCTCCATGGCAACAACAGTTAGCGCCCCAATTATGAACGCCAACAGCAGAAGCAGCGCCATAGCTCAAGATTTTCTTCTTTGCAGAGCTCGATCGATTTACGGTACAACAATCCAGGGCAACTGTTCTCTGCAATGAACTGCTAACAAAATTCAAATCAATTGATAACAAACATGGGTGACTTTTTAATTTTATTAACTCGAAAAAAACTAATTGATAAAGCGCGTGTTAATAACCTCTCATCAGCAATTTCAACTCCAAATTTTCAACAAATCCGAGTTTTGGTCAGTTTATTATATTCTCGAACCATGTCTCTCACAATCACAAATCAAATCAAATCATTTGCAAATTACAATATACAATCATTCGTATGTTACATTATGCAATCACAATGTGCAAGATAATATTTTATAGAGCACTATTTATCAAGATATTTATTAAATTTTATATATTAAAATTTCTCATTAAATAATATTTATAAATTAAAAATATAGAATCAGTATATAATGCAATTTACTTATATTAATTTATTAAAAATGTTATATAAAATTTAAATTGTGTAAAATTATATAAAACATGTCTATTTAAAATAATAACAAATTCAAAAAAATGGAAATTAAAAATAAATTGTTTATTCACCTCCTCATCATGAAACATAATTCCAAAGTAAGTTTTATATTATGCAGCAAATTTATTTTCAATTATTCGAATTGCTCGCAACTTCATAGGTAGTTTCTTAGTTCTAGTGACTTTATTGATCAAACTGAATTCGGACTTCAATCTCAATTGAATAAAAGATAAAATCGGATACTTGAATATTAAAAATGAAATCAAACGAAGGATAACTATAAATAGTTGAAAAATAACTAAATTTATAGGGGAAGAACAAAGTATAATTTAGTTAAATACCATAAATATTTGATATGAAAGGTATATAAAAGTTGCAATAAATCGATTTAAAAATTGTACAAATTCTTTAGTACACGATTTTTGTAATGTAAAAATTTTACTTTCTTTAATACATCATTTTTGTACTGTAAAAAGTTTACAGTGTGGCAATTATATTTTTGTTTAATTTTTAATCAAATTCTCATTTAATTTAAATATGGTATTTTTTTATTTGGACGAAATTCAGTTTAAAAATATTATTTTGTTGATCAATTGGGATGTTAAGTTGATTGATTGTTATGATACGATTGATATCTCAACTTTCTTTTTGTTATGGTTGTTAAGTTGTGTGAATGATATTGTGTAATTTAAATAGATTGATTGATTTACATAAATATATATATACCAAATAATTTAATATGTTCCATGCACATTTACAAAGAAGTATTGACCACATTAGTCTCTGAATTTTTCTTTCATTATAAAATGCTTAGGAATATGAAAAAAAAAATATTGAGACACCATTTTTTACCATAAGCGGGTATATTGGATCAATATATACTATATAGTACCAAATAATTCGATTTCATAATTTTTCGATAAAAGTACAAAAAATAACATTAAGCTTTACCACGAAATTAATTACCCAGCACACAAAGCAAAATTGAGACACACGTTTTTTATAGATAAAAATAGAAAAAGGCCCAAAAAAGTTATTAAAAAATAATTAAATAGAAACTCGCCGCAGGTACCATGAGAGATATCCTAACAAGACAAGGAAAGATCCGATTAAAGGCTATTAACACAATTATTTTGGAATAATTTTATAAAAAGAAAATATAATTGAATAAATCAACTTAATTTACACGATCTGTGTAATGAAGGTATCTTATAAATATAAATTTTTATGGTCTAATTATTTCCTTAATTATCCACGATTTAAATACACAAAAAATAAATAATATTTATTAAATAATATTTAAATAAAAATTGTCATTAACACAACTTTTTGTAACAGTTTTTTACAAATCGCATAATTGATTATTGTTGTCTGTATTTTCATAATTATAGTAATTATTTGCATATTGAATAACTCAGTCGAATTTACAAAATTTGAGTAATTAAGTTATATTAAAAGTTCATTTCACAGTATAATTACACGAAAAATATAAAATATTTGTTAAATAATAAATTATACAATTTAGTTAAAAAAATTTTAACAAATCACATAATTGATATTGCAGCCAAAATTTCCATATTGAGTAACTCAGCCGAATCCACATGATTTGAGTAATTAATGTATCTCAAATTTATATTTTTTTATGGCTTAATTATTTTCTTAAATAATGAGCCGCAATTTCCATAAGCGACTATTGGAAATATACCATACATTGTTAAATTAATTTCCTGAAAAATAAAATAGATTTTTTTTGAAAAAAAATAGTTACTATTTAAAAAATAATCAAACTTTTTGATATAGATACACACCAAAATTTACGTAAAGAGTGCCGATTTGTATAAAATTTAATGTATAGTGGATATTTTTTAGGGTAAATTACTTTTTCCCATCCGAACTATCGCGATTTTTGCGGCTTACCATATCAACTATATTTTTTGACAAACCACCATACGAACTCCATGTTTTTTTTCATCTTGCCCTCTAAACCTGATTTTTAAGGGAATTTTAGGAAATTTGTATATTTTTTAACAAAAAATAAAATAAAATGAAACACATGTGGCTAACCAACAAACGCGGCTCCCTCTCCATCTGCAATCTTCATCGCCTTCACCGCCGACGTCTCCGGGCTTGGCTGTTGTCACGCCGTTTTCTTGGCCAGCTTTTGGATGCTCGACATCTCCCACACCTTCATCCAAGGCCCAACCCGGGCCTCCTTATCGACGTCTCATACGGAAAAAATGCCTCCGTCATGCTCGAGACTATTTGCCTTCTTCGGAAACGTGATCGGCTATGCCGCCGGAGCCGCCGACACAGTCGGTCAAATAACTGTATAATGATTACATTTTTTTTATTTTTTTTTACCTCTTATTAACTCTAGAAGAGAAAGACCCAACAACTCCTCAACTGTATATTATTATTGTTTCATTTATTATTTTAAGATAAATGTTCAAGCTTAAAACAACCTGTATAATAACCAGATGCCTTCAATTCTGCATACGTAAATCACACCAATGCAAGACTTACTGCGAAAATGAGAAGCTAATGAAGGAACAAAGTCCATGTTTAAGTAAAATTAATGTGCAATGGCAAGCTAATGAAGAAAACAAAGTCCATACAAAATCACCATTGTGTACGTAAAAAAACAATGTGCAATGGCTAGTGCTTAGCCAAGTACAAGACATGCAACTCCCATGTTTGCCCAGAAAGTAAACACGAAACACGGACTCGAACTTGGGAATTTCACGTCTCAACACGACAACAATACAAACAAATATGTGGCAACATATCGTGAATACATCACAATAACTCATACTCACAGCTCAAATGNAAAAAAAAAAATCACAAGAAAACAAGACCTATTTCAAAAAGCTCACTCGAATATTGTTCTTGGCTAGTTATGTAATAATTCCTTAATGCCTCAACTAAAATATCAATCTAGGATTAAAAGCATTTATTCTACATTTTTGTTTCGCATTTTTCTTTTCATTTAATAATTTTTATTTACAAAGGCAGCTCACTCGCCGGAATATTTTACCAAAAATCTCGATCCTCAAAAAATGAACAAATCATTTGCCGTTGTTTTTCTACTCTTATCCGTACACCAATATTCCGGCAGGGCACAGTCCCTTGGCGTGCCTTCCCCAGCACCGTCCACGATCTCGGCCACCCACTCTCCGATGCCGGCACATTCTCCATCCAGCAAGCATCCCCGTCACAGCTTTCGTCGCGCTCTCACTCTTCAACCATTTCTCCGGCAGTGCCAACGTCCTCTCCAGAGACAAGCGAGTCTCACAGCTTCCGTCTCTTTCTCTGGTACAGGTTCCGGCGGTATCACTAAGTGTGCCTTCTCCGAGTCCATCTCAGGTGACGACCCCTCCGCCTACCCCGACGAGTTTCCTGGAAGCGGAGGCTCCAGTTACGGTCACTCCGTCGGTCGGTGTTCTTCGAGTTCTGCAAAACCGTCAGGGTTACCGGATGAGTTCCCATCAACCGGTTGTGTAGGATATTGGAGGGTGCACGAGTATAGTTTCCCAAGTCCAAGTTCCACTCTTTCATTTTTTTTTTTAAAAAAAAACATATGTAATTCCTAAAACACCCTTACAAACTAGTTTTTTTTGGCAAAAACAACTTTAATTCTGATTTTAGATGGCAAAGTGACAAACTTGTGTAGTTCAGATGGTGGTTTGTTAAGAAAAAAAATTTATATGGTAATGCACCAAAATCGTGATAGTTTAGATTGGTAAAATTTTTTTTCCCTATTTTTTAAAAATAATTTACCCTCAATTAGTAAAATAGAAAAACGTTCATGAATGAATAAATAGAACATGGAATATGGAACCAATTAGGTCAAGAAATAATCAAATTGGGAAGATTATCTTAACAAATTACAAAGATCTATTCCGAATATTAAAATAGGATTATTAGGTTGGATTGACACGACTCTATTCCTATTGTCTACAAGCTCGAACATAATCAAGTTATCTGAACTATTCGCCTCCTATATCATCTGAACCGGGCTCGCAGTTTGACCTAAATGTTGATATATATTCTCTCTCTTCTTTTCTTTTTATATTTTCTCAGCTGCCACAAATTCCTTCGTCTTCTTGGATAGACGACTAAAAGATTTTAAGAAGAAACTAATTAATTAAGTAGTGTGATGAAAAATATTTGGGAAATAACACAAAATGATATTCTTTTTTTTCCCTTTCATATGGCTGTATGCATGATTGCTAAGAGGTCAGTATTTTTTATAGAGTTATAATAGTTGTTTGTAACGAATTATTAAATCATGGTGGACTCCAAAATTAAAGGTTCGGCATAAGAAAAAAGGGTTAAGTTACTTGTAGCATCCCATAGAATATGTGACTGGTGTGTGTATAATATGACTAACAAATTTATGTGTTTAACTTTGAACTTCCTACTGCTTAGTAGAGAGACCTTCTTAATTGGGTGGGTACGTCTGCATTAAATGTCCCAACCAACAGCTACCTGTACGCATTAACAATGGTGGCCTAGCTTGTGCACATAACAATGTAGTTAGTTAGGTCCATCACATTCTTCTTCACACTATTCTCCATTTGATTTTCTTTGACACTAAAAGTCCAACATACAATAAGTTTGCAAGCTGTTTTGCTATTTTTTTCGTGTGAATTTGGTTAATTGGAATGGCCACAACACGCCATATTCATCTCATCAGCAAGAGTCAAGCAGTCTAAGCTCACAACTTTGGCGTTTTTCATGTAAAAACCATTTTGTCCAATCCAATTACCTAGTTTTTCTTGACCAATTGCTGTTACTATAAATTATATGCTAGCTCTTTCTTCCATCCATCATCATCCATTAGTCAAGTTTCTTCTCCACTCCACCAAAATATATGCAGCTGGATCTTGTTTAAATACATTTTTTCTTTTGGTTGATTTTTATCGACAGAAAACAAGAAAACAAGAAACAGTCATCGGGACCACAAGAAGAGGAGATCGATCGACCGGCCAACCAACCAATGAAGAGCTCATCATCATCGTCAGCAGCTGCAGAGGAAGTAGTAATGGAGATAGAGGCTCACAAGCCACAAGGGAAGGGTTTGGTTATTGGAGGGCTTAGCCCTTTAAGCGAAAGCCTGTGGAAGGAGAGAACCGACACTGAATTTGTGGGTGACGTGTCAGCCAGGCTGGCTTGGAAAGATCTAACGGTAACTGTGACTCTCAGCAGCGGAGACACTCAGAATGTTTTGGAGGGACTGAGTGGGTATGCCGAGCCTGGATCGTTTACCGCGCTCATGGGCCCTTCCGGATCAGGAAAATCCACGCTGCTCGATGCTCTTTCCGGACGCCTTGCTGCCAATGCATTCCTTTCAGGGGCCATTCTGCTCAATGGCCGCAAGGCCAACTTATCGTTTGGGACAGCTGTCAGTAGTAGATTCTGCTCACTTTTTCCTTTTTTTTTGGTCGGCATCATCATTAATATTAATATACTTGTAAATTAAATTGAATGCAGGCCTATGTAACACAAGATGACAACTTGATCGGCACCCTGACGGTTCGTGAAACAATATCATACTCTGCCCGGCTGAGGCTTCCGGATAGAATGCCATGGGCAGACAAACGGGCACTGGTCGAGAGCACAATCATCGAGATGGGACTTCAAGATTGTGCGGACACAGTCATCGGGAATTGGCACTTGCGCGGTGTGAGTGGTGGAGAAAAAAGACGTGTTAGCATTGCTGTCGAGATCCTGATGAGACCAAGGTTACTTTTTCTTGATGAGCCCACCAGCGGTCTAGACAGGTATAAATTAAATATGTCTTCACCCAACCACCATCCACAAATTAATGTTTAGATAAGATAATCACTCATGATTGATTAATAATTTTCTTTTTTTTTTTTTTTTTTTTTGGCAGCGCATCAGCATTCTTTGTGACTCAGACATTGCGTGGGCTGTCCAGAGACGGACGCACAGTCATAGCCTCTATTCACCAGCCCAGTAGTGAAGTTTTTGAGCTGTTCGATCGATTATACTTACTTTCTGGTGGAAAAACTGTTTACTTTGGTCAAGCTTCCGAAGCATATGAGGCAACAATTCTTCTCCACTTCTGTTTTCTTCCCACGCCTTTTCTTCTCATGTCAACTTTTAACCTTACATGTCTGTAATGGTGTATATATGCAGTTTTTTGCTCAAGCTGGCTTTCCATGTCCAGCTTTACGGAACCCCTCTGATCATTTCCTCCGCTGCATTAACTCTGATTTTGACAAGGTTAAAGCGACACTAAAAGGATCAATGAAAATAAGGGTACATACCAAAAAGTTTCTTCTCCTACTCCTTTAGCTGCCTTTTCAATATTATCCATCACAATCACATGGTCCCTAATGATGACCTTAGAATGTGAACAAGGTAGAGTGTAAGCATATGTGGTCTCCTAGGATGGTTACATATTAAATTTCATTTTGAGGATGAAAAGCTAAAACTTAATGCAGAAAACCAAAGATTGCTAGAACTATTCTTCAAGTTTGGTCAAATTATAACCAGGCCCTTTAAATTTAATATTTTATACCATGTGTCGATGTTTTTTTCACAAGATTCATTTTGATATCCATATCTCCATTTGTTTTGTGGAGCACGTACATGTCCTCTGAAAATTTATAGGTGTGCATTTATTTTTGCTCCCCCTTCTGCTATATATATCTATGATCTATATAAATCTTTTTAATATTTTTATGGAAATTTCAAGCTACATTTAATCACTCTCTTCTTGCATTTTCCCCCTTCATGATCTAATGGTGGAACTCTTTTTTCTTGAATCGTATTCATAGGAAATTCTGCACTAATCAATCCACTGCTATTCCAAGAAACAAAAAAGAAACATACAGTTAGCTGAAACTATTGGTTCACACCTCTACTCATCTAATTCGAATTTTCTTTTGGTATATCTATCAGTTTGAGGCTACCGATGATCCTCTGGAAAAAGTAACCACGACAGAAGCTATTCGGACGCTTGTTGACTCTTATCGTGCTTCTCAGTATTGTTATTCAACAAAAGAAAGGATTGAGGAGATCTCCAAAATTGTGAGTCTTGTTCAGTAAGATTCTAATAAGTTAAACTTGCTCGTACAACTAGATGGCTCATTATATTTCATGCAGAAAGGAACTGTGCTAGATTCTGGAGGGAGCCAAGCAAGTTTCTTCATGCAGGCTATTACCTTGACCGCACGCTCATTTGTTAATATGTCAAGAGACTTTGGTTATTACTGGCTGAGGCTTGTTATCTACGTCGTGGTCACAATTTGCATTGGAACCATTTACTTGAATGTCGGAACAAGCTACAATTCAATCCTGGTAATATGATTACTGTCGGACAGCAATGCCCTTCATAAACTCTCCACCTATAGCAAGCCAGCATAATTGAGATATTTTGGAGTAGACAATTATTCAATGGGAATAAGAGTTGAAGTATTTCGAAATACAACAACATACAAGATAATTTTGAAGGATTTAATAACACACACACGATATCACTTCTTCCTATGAATCCCAGAAGTTCTATAGAAATAATTTTTTTTTTTTTTAACTATCGAGTAGTGTGAGTATGCTTATCGTACCCCTGAATTCTCAATTTAATTTATCATCTAAATACCTGAATATTACAGGCAAGGGGTGCATGTGCATCTTTCGTCTTTGGTTTTGTGACTTTTATGTCGATTGGTGGATTCCCTTCATTTGTGGAAGATATGAAGGTACAACATTGCTACTTATTTGTCTGGCTAGTTTCATTGTTCAAAAGAAACACAGGAAAAAACAGAGAAGCTATTTTGTTTAGGGGAAAAGAAGAGGTAGAAAACCAAGGAAATAAAAAAAATATGCTCACTGTTTATGTTCAGGTTTTCCAAAGGGAAAGACTTAATGGGCACTATGGTGTGACTGCCTTTGTGATCAGCAACACCTTGTCTGCAATGCCATTTCTGATATTAATCACCTTCATATCCGGTACTGTGTGCTACTTCATGGTTCGCTTACACCCAGGCTTGTCGCACTATTTGTTCTTCGTATTGTGCCTTTACGCGAGCGTCACTGTGGTAGAGAGCCTCATGATGGCTATTGCCAGTGTTGTTCCTAATTTCCTTATGGGTATCATCATTGGGGCTGGAATCCAGGTGCGTAATTCTTCTTCAGCCTGAAAAATTATGCAAGGAAACAAAAATAATGAAAGATCACAAAAACATGACTTCTGCTGTATCTTCGAAACACAACTTTATCTGTACTTAATCATAGTATTTTCATGATTGTTGATATTTCCTTAGGGGATATTTATGCTTGTTTCTGGCTACTTCCGACTTCCAAAAGACATCCCAAAACCTTTCTGGCGTTACCCGATGTCTTACATAAGTTTCCACTTCTGGGCTCTGCAGGCGAGTACAAGAATTTGCTGCACTTGTCCTTTAAATTAACTAACAAATTTATTGACATATAACTATATATCCTCAGGGTCAGTATCAGAATGATCTAATAGGCTTAGTCTTTGACAATCAGTCGCCCGATCTTCCAAAGATTCCAGGAGAATATATCCTAGAAAATGTTTTCCAAATTGATATGCAGAGATCAAAATGGCTGGACCTCAGCGTTCTGTTGAGCATGATTATAATCTACAGGATCATCTTCTTCATCATGATCAAAGTTAATGAGGATGTCACCCCTTGGGTTCGTGGCTATATTGCAAGACGAAGAATGCAACAGAAAAATGCTAGCCAAAATGCTACAGTCGCTCTTACCCAATCACCTTCCCTGAGGAATTATGTCCAAAATCGTGCTTCTGCTACTGGCAAGAGGTAGATAGTTTTATAAGATGGTCAATTTCCACTATGTTGGCTGCAATTGATGGAACTTCATACCATGGCAAACTATTATATCTTATATATATCCCTACAATGGAGAAATTATTGGATAATTTGTTGACTAAATTCTCAAATTTTTTATTGGAATCTAGACATATGGATTGTGTAAACCATTACCTTCAATTGAAAAAATACATATTAAATGCTAGTAGCTGGTAAATTGTTATATTTTTAGATCTTAGATAGAGGGTTGATAATTTCATTCCCCATGTTCTACTACTGTAAGATTAACTTACATAAGTTACATTGCAAAAACTTTCAGCCAACTGCACTTGGCTAACTAACGAGATAATCACCAACTGATCATGTTAGCAGTCCTAACAGACTCCCACAAAACTCCTAACCAGCCAAGGTGAATGGAGAGGAAGCCTCAGGTTGTGGAATCTAATTTTTTTTTTCGCTTCTTTGAGCAGCTCAAGAGATTTTTCAGGATAAAATTAATAATATTTTGTATTGGTCGTCTTAATTTTCGTCTCATACTAAATTTTTACTATCGAAATTTGTTGTACACATAAAAATGGTAGTGTTGTATGGCGAAAGAAAGTTTTTCTAGGCTTATTTATCACAATATACCATCGTTCATTATAAGTTACACACATTGATAGTGAGACGAAAGTAAAACGAAAAATAACGGAAAAAGAAACCCAAATAATTTTTCTTTTGCCACATTATACCATTATTTAATGTAGACAATCAATTTAATAGTGAAAATACAATGTGAAACGAAAGTAAAACAAAAAATAAAAAATTGGTAAATAAGGGTAAAAAAAGCCCTACAATTTTTATTTCGCCACAATAAACCATCATTTGTTGTAGATGACTAACTTTGATAGTGAAAATTCAATTTTGAGACGAAATAAAAATGATTGAAAGACCGTGTACAGTTGTATACACAAAAATTCAAAAATGAAAAAAAACTCATAAATAATAGTTAAAAAAGCTCAAACAAAATTTCTTTCGCCACAGTACACCATCATTTAATGTATATTTCAAACACCGATGGTAAAAGTTAAATTTTGAAATGGATGAAAATGATTGAAAAGGTGTGAACTAATGAACATGCAAAAACTAAAAACAAAAAAACTCATGAATACTGATTAAAAAGGCCTAAAAAAAAATTCTTTTGCCACATTACACTATTATTTAATTATATTACAAAATTTGATGGTGAAAATTAAATTTTGAAACAGAAGAAAAACGACTAAAAATGCGTGTACTAATGTACACAAAAAAACTCAAAAAAGAAAAAAATTCATAAATAATAGTTAAAAGGGCTCAAAGTAAAATTCTTTTGCCATAATACTCTATTATTTAATATATATATTACAAACTTTGTTGATGAAATTTCACTTTTGAGGCAGAAGAAAAATGCCGAAAAAGACGTGTAGTTGTACACGAAAAAATTCAAAAACAAAAAAACTTGTTTTTGCCAAATAGAATAATGGTTAAAAATGGTTATTTTTGCTACAATACACCATAAATAATGATTAAAAATGCACAAACAGAATTATTTTTGCCACATTACACCATTATTAAATATATAGTACAATGTATGGTTAAAAAGGTTCAAACAAAGATGCTTTTCCCATAGTAAATCATTATTTAATGTATATTACAAATTTTGATGGTGAAAATTCAATTTTGAAACGAAAGAAAAACGACTGAAAGAACGTGTACTAAAGTACACGAAAATTTCAAAAACAAAAAAACTGTAAATAATGGTTAAAAATGCTCAAATAATTTTATTTTTGCCAATGAATTCTAAATCCTATTTAAAATTCATTGGCAAGATATTATAAATATCTACAACAACTCCCATTTACCGAATGACAAAGCTCTTTTACTTTTTGAAAAATTTCAAGGCTCTAGAAATTGAACATCAATGGTCCAAAACTTTGAAAAACTCTTCTTGTTCAATGAAAATGATAGAATTTGTAAACGAAAATGGAGGAAAAAATCAAATAGTTTTATTAAATATTTTGCCTACATAATTATATAGTTTTATTAAATATTTTATTAAATCGTTGGTTCTCAATTGCGAGGGATTCACCGTGTTTAATGCCAATGGGAACCTTGTCTCTCGGGTCGACAATTACATCAACAGCCCTCGCAGAGTTAGAGTATCCAATTCCAATGAGATCTTCCTTATGGATGCCTGAGGAAACTCTATTCTCACCATCCGCCGCCAATGCAAGGTATCATTATCAATCAATTCTGCTAATTAATATGTATTATGTTTGTTTTGCCAAGTTTCATTATAATTGTCGAATGTACAAAAGCTGGACAGCAGCAACTGGTTTTTGTACGACGGCGAGACCACTGATAATCCGAGGTTTACGGTGATGAAGAGGAAAAGTATCAACAACAGCAGGAAATGGGCGGCTCATGTCATCAGCAATGATAGTAATAATCATAATAATTATGTGATTGAGGCGAATCACTGCTGCTACTGTGTGTATGATGAGAAGCGGAGGAGGCGCGTGGTAGAGCTGAAACCTAAGGAAAACTTCTGTCAAAGGCCTCGCTTTTGGTGCCGATGTTTTCCAATTGCTTCTATTCCCTGATTTTGACCCCTCGCTCGCCATGGCAATCGTTATCCTCCTTGATCACATGTAAATAATTTTGTTGAAATCATCTAATTCAGTTGTTTGGTTTTTTTCATTTTAAATAAAATAACCTCCAGCTCCGGATCAATAGCTTACCAATTTCTCCTTGAAATACATACATTTTCATGATTTGGAGATGAGATGATTAGGGTTGAGTTAGAGAGATGCAAGTGTGTTTGATTTTGACAGATTTTTTTATGCCTAAATATTTAATTTAGGTTGAGCTAAATTATATAAAAGATTTTACACTCTGAGTAGATACTTGTAGTATATTTATTTTTTCAAAATTGATGTTCAGTGAGTGAAAAATAAATTATTAAAGATGGTCATTAACTGATACGTAAAATATTGGTTGTGGGATTCGACTTAAGATTCTTCTTTGATAGCTCACAACAATAACAAAGATATCCACCATGTGTTGGTGATGGCTTTAGCCCCACACACGTGTGCCTGCCGGCTCGGGTCAGGCCTTGTACTCAGCAATTGGACTATGGGCTAGACTTAGGCGACCTTGAACGGTCTGGGTCAGTGTTGGGCTTTTGATCGTGGATGATCTGTACATGTAGAAATTAAAAAAATAAAAAAAAACTCGTAAATAAAGTTAAAAAGACCAAAACAAAATTTCTTTCGCAACAGTGTCACCATTATTTAATAGCTATTATAAACTTTGATGGTGACTTAAATGGTGAGTACACTAGTACACGCAAATAATACCCTAAACCCCCATCTCCCTTCTGAATACATAAATCATCTGGAGAATCCCTTGAAAATAATTAATGAAGCTGAGAATGCTGCTCAAAGAGACATCTGGAATCTAGTTCTCTTTACTGAGGATCTGCGACGCCATTATGGAAAAGAGAGGATGTCCTTATAAAATATCTTAGGACATGCATGGCAGCATCCCTCAGCTGCTGGACTGCATAAATGATGTCAGGCCTAGTGGGGTTGAGATATAGAAGTCTGCCAATATCTCTTCTATATTGATCTGGCTGAGATATGTAGGGCCGCTTTGTTATCACACCTTAATGGAACATGACAAGCAACCAATACCGGATTAACTGAGATATGTAGGGCCGCCTTGTTATCACACCTTAATGGAACATGACAAGCAACCAGTACCTTAAAACCACTGAGTATATACCCAATCCACATTAACTCTGAAACTGTAGAGCTCATGGCACATTAAAATCACTGAGTCTTATATATTGATTCTATATTTGTAATTTATATAAATTATTTAATAAATAATTTTAATTTATAAATATTAATTAATACTTTTTACCCATAGATTCGTACTATAATAATTTAACAGCTAAAAAAATTTAGAAGCAAGCAATTAAGTGGACTTCATATTAAACTCTAGATAATGGGCTAAAAGGTACAAAAAAATAAGCCCAAGATGAACTACTAACCAATAAAATATGCCCCAAATGAAGCCCATCACTAATCTAGGGTTTCGCCCCATTCTCCTTTAAATGCTCTCTTCGTGCAGCCATAACCGCACACTCCCCCCTTCTCTCTGGCCTCTACATCTCTCACACGCACACTACGCCCACCTGAACCTCGATTTCTATTTCTATCTCATCACCGACGAGGCCACCGGAAAGAAGAAGCTGAAGGTGAACGCCTGGTTTAGCAGCCGGGTAACGACCGTCGCCATTCGCACGGCGCTCAGCCACGTCACTAACCTGATCAACGGCGTCAGGAAGGGTTACCGTTACAAGATGCATTTCGTGTACACACGCGCCGCCTGTTAATCCGAACAGCAATCGAGATATACAGATAAACAGAGGCTCTGTTCCACACGCTCCGCCTGTTCATCGTTTGTGGGAACTGGAAATTTTGGATGCCCATTTCAGCGTCCTCTCGCAGCGGGTGCCGAGGGTTCTGCCGTGGAGGAGAAGTGTCACATCCGCCAGCACGCACCTCATCGAGACCTACCCCTCCCTGCAGCCCAAGACCGCCGTCTTCACCCACAACGACGGTCAATCTCCTCCAGGCCACGGCACCGTCCCAATCTTCTTCCAGGGCGTCACCTACAACATCCCCGTCATCATGTGGCTCATGGATTCTTCCCCAGAAGAGAGGGCCATTCATATGCAAGCTGAGGTTGCTAGTATGGCTTCTAGGGCTTACACAACATTGCTCATTAAGTTGAGTTGAGGTCTGTTTTTATGTAGCCATTTTTCCTTATATTTTTATGTTGCTGTCTTGGTGTAGTGAAATGGCTAGATACGTATATTCTCTGTACTTGGGTTAATTTCAGCCTCGTGTATGCATTTTGCTGCTTCTCTTTTGGTATGGGTAGAAAACAGGATTCCCTTCATTGAATTTGTATTGATATGACAAATACTAGAGGTCAATAAATGTTACAGATTATGTTAAGTTGATGTCAAATATATGCAAGCACCTAATGTACAATTCCATTTATCTATTAGTTTTCTGTATTTTACAAATTCTAATTTCATGTTGGTGTTCAATGTTGATAAAATAGAATTTATCTCAATGTTTCTGGTATTTGGGTTCATGAATTGACTTTTTGATTCAATCCAAATTTCCTAAGCTTCCACTCTAGAGCCAAGTCATTCCAAAATTTTTTGATATTTATGAAGATCAGATTGAAACCATTGAAAACACTACTGCAATTGGAATGATAGCGAATCCCGCATTTCTTAAGAATCATTAAGGCAGGCCAGGTGTAAAGCATTATCCTTGTACAGGTAGGGCTTCTTGACAGGATGAGGGATGTGCCACCCCTGTGTAGCGGCTGCGCCAGGTGGTTGATGCTATGGCGGTTGAGATGCATGCGGGCTTGGCTTCCGAAGGCGGGTCAAAGCTGAAGATGCTTCTCACCTATATCTGCGACCTCCCTACTGGGTAAGGCCTTGGTGCTTCAGATTTGGTGTGTGTGTGTTTTTGTGTGTGTGTGTGTGGGCGAACATCTATTGCATGTATGATTTTTGTGTAGTTTGAGGTTGAATTGCTTATATGAGTTGCTACTAGTGTTGAAATTGGCGTGTTATTTTTTTTTGGTAATTAGGTAATTCATTAATTTACTGCCTTGGTGTGATTGGCATGTTTTTGTTTCCAATCGCCAAAAATGAGGTGTCGCATTAATGATAATATTTGTTGTGTTTTCCCGTCTTTCCACCTTCTTTCCATGCGATTAATTTTTTCATTATAACTTTAGATAATCAATATCAAGATTACAGGTTGTTTAGTCTACATTTTATGTATGAGTACTAGTCAAATTTGGTGTTATCTTCTTTTGAAATTGCTGTCCCGAGTTTCTGTGTGTTTTTTCAATGGCGAGCAATATCGTCTTCTTGATTATTAGATACTTTGTTGTGACAAAAATATATAGTTATCCAATTATCACAAGTTGTTACTCTCTTTTAAGATTTAAATGTTCAATCTTGTGATTGTTATGTATTGTTTATCTGTTTATTTTTTTAACCTTCACGAGATCATTTTTTTTTTCATAGATCGAATGTGTTGCTTTGAGTTGTTATGATATACTTGGATTCATATGATTCAGCTGGTAACCATGATTGTGTCAATGCTTTGAGATTCTGGACTTGTAATTCAGGATCAGTTTCCATATCTGTGTTGCTTATTCTTTTACGTTTTCAGAAATTTTTGTTCAATGTAGCGAGACTTTTAGATTCTTTATCAGATTCCAAGTATTATCTCTTTACCGATTGTAGCAAACATGCTGTTCCAGGAACAAAAAGGGGATTTATTATGCTCTAGATCTCGGCGGTACCGATTTTCCGGGTCTTGCGAGTAAAGTTAGATGGCCAAAGGTCAGCTACCATAATTCATGATGTCGAACGACAGCCCATCCCTCAAATTTGATGACCAGCAGAAGTGAGGTAGCTGATTCTTGTGCATTTTGGCTTCTCAGATGTGGCACTTCTTGGACTAAAAAATATAATTTATTAATATTTCATTAAATTTCCATTTCCAGGAGCTTTTTGATTATATTGCAACATCATTGAAGGATTTTGTTGAAAGAGAAGAAAATGCTTCAGAGCCTTCACAATCACAAGGGGAAAAAAGTAGACTTGGCTTCACATTTTCATTCCCAGTGAAACAAACTTCTTCATCATCAGTCAAACTGACGAATGGATTCTCTATTGATTACATGGTTAGTTTAATTTTTATTTTTTTCCTCTTGCTCTTTTCAAGTCATCCAATGATTTGCTTTTCTTGACTTTCTTTACTCCCATTGAATCTGCATATGAATACATACTTTGTATTTACATATTTTTTTTCATAAGTCACAGTAATAAAGACAAGAAAAGTTTAATGATGCATTAGTGTCATTGTGGTGGGTGAGGGAGCCTAAGTAATGGACTACAGTGTTTATTTCAGGTTGTTAGGGATGTTGCTATGTGCTTCCAGGAGGCAATATATCGGAAGGGCCTGAATATGCAAGTGGCTTCCCTTGTAAGAACTTTCGTATTCAGTAAAAGAAAATTTTGAAAAAAAATAAAATAAAATTGTAAATGTAATTTACATGTGTGTTGGACTTTCATTATGTGTGAGTGCATATTAGTTATGTGATTGATTTTTTTCTTTTTAGGGTTCGGGTTTCGGGGTTGAGGGTTCGGGG